CCATCTCTCGTTAGAAAAATGAGTTAGAGTAGCTTGACTTTGCTTTCATCTTAGCTGTATATCATGAATATATTCAAGATTAAAAGAAATCCAAACCAAACATTAAAAAAGAAAAAGAAAAAGAAAAAGAAATATAATTAATAACCACAAACATGGAGCAGAAATGGGTATATAATTTATAAGAATGTAATGGATCCATTGGAATGTTGATTTTGTCTTTTAGCAAGGGAGAGGAGACATTGCCTAGATGTTAATGTGGAGGCATGCTCTGGACAAAGCAAAAAAACAGAACCCTCTAACATATAAAAACTAAATAAGATTAGGACATGGATTACTGTTAATCAGCAGGAAACCAGGTTTTTTTAATTGATTAAATCATGGGGAAATGAGTACGTAGAACATTATATTTTGTTTTTGTATGTGATTGGAGTATCCTAATTAAAGGCAACCCTCTGGCTATTCCTATGCCTTCACATTCAAATTGAAGCACCTTTTATCACGATTAAGGTATGTTTAGATTAATCTAACTCAGCAAAATTATGTTAATAGTTTATACATGGTATCGGCTTGTAACGTGGCCCAAGGTTCAAGATTAAGCATCATGATAAAGAAGAATAAACTGGTTAACACGGTTGTAATCCCAATTAATGTGCGATGAGGTTGTCCTCTTAATTTAATTTGTTAAGAGCTCTAAATATAGAGTAGTTAATTAAACAAATGAAGATATATATTAGTCTTGGCCATGTAATCATGGATGGGATCACATGCTTGATAGGCATGCTTTGATTCCTTTAACGAAAGCTAAAAAACACTCAAAATTTATTTTTAATTTCAGAAAAAAAGCAGGGAAGGAGGAGAGGAAGGGAGGTGGTTTTCCCTCCCCAACCACATGCTTCCTGGGGACCATCAAACCCTTAAATACAGCATGAGATGATCCCAGAAAGTAATACAAAAAACAAAAGATTGTTTGCTATATCATATCTTGTTACTTACTACATTACAACTTAAAGCCCTAAACCCCATAAAGTAAGAAGCATAAATTATAAATATAGGTGATATTTTAAAGTGCATTTGCATGCTGGATATCAGTCTCCTTTGCTTAAAAGAACATATTTAGCTGTCTTGGAGTACTGCATGGTGTGTCCTTTGCTTTTTAATCTTTAGTTAGAAGCACAAAAATGCACAGATTTGGGTGCCCTCTTTTGTTCTTTTTGGGTAGAGATGGGGCCACCAAGTTTCCCCCTATTCCTTAGAATATGGCAAGGAAACTTCTCTTTGAGCCTTGCATTTTATATGGGGAAACTCATTTTTTCCATTTCCCATGAAAATCTTTCTCTTAAAGAATGTTTTCATCACTATATACTAAATCTTTTCAATCTTTTCTTTTGTTTTCCTCTAATGTTTTTGAACTTCTAAAAATCCATTCATCATCATTTAAAATCAAGAAATTCTTGAATACAATTTGGCTAGATGAACAAGAGAATCAAGAATGTAACCGGGTTTATGGTACTTGTTTGAGTATAGCAATACAAACACAAACAAATTGTTTGAGCTTAAGAGCCAGAGGATGCATCCATGAGGTTTCTCATTCTAATTTTCCTGCATATAATTTTGCAAATGAAGTTAATAGCATTGATTATACATGAATTTTTTTATGGCAAGAGAGATCACTGTGCCCTGAATCAATGCCCAATGAAATTTTTTGTGCAAATCAATGCCTAAGTACTCTAACTTAAAGCTTAAAAATTTATAACAACTTCCTTTGGGTTTCGTAGTCTGAACTGGTACCCATTGTCCCAAAATAAATATAACAAATCTCTACATCTGCCATGATATTAACAATTTTAGTCTTTGTTGTTGATCTACATAGGCACAACTCTGCATTGGTATTCTCTAAATTTCCAACAATGGTCGGCATCCGCCTATCAAAATGCCATTGAAAGAGTAGCTACACTTTTTTATTCATTAATTTCCCAATATTAAATCCTTGAAACATATACATTTTTTTTCAAAATGTATAATTGGATTACATAGTGAAAACTAATCAATATTCCCTCAACCCCCACCGTTCATTTGAATTCTCATTTTCAAAATATGTAGTTGGGTGATTAGGCCAATAAGAGCTCGAACAAAATTTAATACATATATATTTGTTTTATTCCCATTACATCTTATCATGGGTAACAATTACCATGCAATCGCTTCTGAATTTAATAATTACCATCAAGTTTTTAGATTCTAGACTCTCAAAAGAGGAAATAAATTTTAATAGATAGGCAAGAAACACTACCAGAGGACTTATTATCAACAAGGTAAAATTAATAACATGCTTAGATACGTAAGTGATATCTAAATTTACCGATGTGGCTTAAAATGCTAAAAGAAAGGAAAATGGGACAGTTGGATTGGCATACTCTGCACCCAGACAAGAACATTTTGAGAGAGAGCAGCAGCGCTGGAGGGACAGGCTAGTGGTTTTTAATTATTAATACTACAACCAATTTCATGAATGCACAATAATAATCATAATAATAATATTACAAAACTGTGTTGCAAAATATACACATTACATACAACCAGCTTCACAAAAAAAAAATGAAAATTGTTAGCCATTTCTGCATGCAAAGGATCCTACAGACTGATAATGCTTCCAAGCCAAAGGGCAAAACAGTACTTATGGTAAAAAAAAAAAAAACCAAATTGATAACATGCGAAACTGTGTTGGTAAAAAAAAAAAAAAAAACATGAGGAAGAAGGGTCAGTTTAGTGTAGGGGAGAAATATGGGAATATATATATAAGGGCATTGATTGATTTTCTCGGAGAATATCTCTTGGAGGGGTTGATGAGAAAAGGCAACAATTGAGGGTATTTTGGTCACTCCACGATGTAGCATACACTCACTCACACACAAAGGATAGATACTTGTAAGGAAGGTGATTAAATCATGACCCTTCATCACTAGGGATGGTGGGATCGGATGGTTGAGAAAGGGGTTGGAAGATGACGGGTGCCCCATGTTGTGGGTAAAGCATAATCTGGACCGTTGGTGCATGCTGGTACGTGGGGGCCAGCCTGAATGTGAACCTTTGGAGTATTATAGCAATGGTTAGTTTTGCTTCCAACATGGCTAGATTTTGTCCAACGCATGTCCGGAGGCCGAGACCGAAGGGAATGAACCCGCCGGGGTGCTTGGCGGCGCGTGTCACGCCTTCCGAGAACCGCCCGGGGTTGAACTCATTAGCATCATTTCCCCATATAGCTTGATCATGATGGATGGCTAGGATTGGTATTAACAGCTCGGTCCCACGAGGGATCATGTAACCCCCAAGCTCAGTATCCACTTTTGTCCGTCTGATCGTGGCAACTGTTGGCGGGTACAGCCGCAGGGACTCATTGAGGATCATACTCAACTGCCACACCAGAAATATTCCGGCACCGTCAGAGAAATGTGAAATGACCTTTTTACCCTTCCGTAATAAGGGTCAAACGAGACAAGACAAAGTTTTTATAACTTTTTAATTTCTTTTTGTTCTTTAATAGCAGGAAAAAAGGGGGTTACCGTCTTAAGCTTCACAATATCATCTTTGGTGGGTATATCACGTGATCCACACACCTTGATGACTTCCTCACGTGCTTGCACCTGCCACTGTGGGTGCATTGCAAGAAGAATGGTTGTCCACGTCAGCAAGTTGGATGTGGTGAGTTTGCCAGCGAAGAAAAAGCTTTTGCACTCTTCAATTATGTCATGGACGGTTACACTTGGGGAAGAATTTGACGCCTGAATCATCAATCCCAGCAAATCCTTTGCCCCTTTCTCTTGCATTATGTTCCCGGACTTCGTTTTCCGGCCATCGATCAACTTGATAAGCGACTTCTTTATTTCCCTGTCCAGCTTCCATGATCTTATGTTCTTTTTTGTGGGTAAAAATCTGAGAAAAACACAAACATTAACATGTGACCGCCGAAAAGTAATATTCGGAGCATGATTTTGATTAACGGTATTATTTATTACCTGTAGCCGGGAATGAAAACTTTTTGAAATGCCTCGGCGGTAATGACCATTTGTTGTGCTTGTAGACTGAAAATGACCTTTCCATCTTCATAGCTGCTACCAAAGGCCGTACGGGTTATGACATCTTCGGTGAGTGTCTGGAACCAGTCGGAAACTTCGATTTCAACCTCGGCGGAGGTTGTCATTGCCGACCATTTGTCCAGCATGTCGGTAACGCTCTTAGCCACCAAAGGAACCAAGAGCTAATTAAAGAGAAAAAAAAATTGGAAATTGATTAGGAGAAGAAGAAAAGAAAAGGTGAAATTTGTATGCAAAATATGCAAGCAAATAAATAAGTGGCTTACTTTGAGATTTTCCATGTGGAAGGTAGGAGTAATGATTTTCCTATGATGAGCCCACTTTTCACCCTTGAGGCTGAGGAGACCATCGCCTTCAAGCTGTTTGACAAGTGGGTGAGGTTCGATTTTCTCGTACAATTCTGCCTTGGAGGTGAAGATTTCCCGGATCAAGTCGGGATCGGAGACGGTAAGCCGGACGGTGGGACCAAACCAAATTAAGAATGTGGCACCTGGGTGATGGATGAACTTGAAATTTAAGAATTTTCATTAACAATATGGAATAAGAATTAGCGAAACAATAAAAAAAGAAAAAAAAATGGAGAAAAGGTTTTACACCAAGAAGGAAGTAGCACAGAACCTCAAGTAGTAAGTATCAAGTTTGCAAAAGAGGAATGAGCAGGAGGAAAACATAATAGCCATTAATTCAGAGAGGATGGATGGATGGATGGATGGATAGTGTAGGACCCTACACAAGGGGAAAGGGAAGGAAAGAGAAAAGCCAAAACAAGGTAGGAACAAGACAACTCAAAATGCAAACACAAATCAAGTTCATTATCAAAAAATTCAAGGTTTCAAAAAAACAAAAGAAGGATGACATGTATGAAACAGAAAAGTAAATTATAACAGGAAAACCCCTCCAAAAAATAGACACTAAACATCATTTTTCACTGACACAAATTTATTATTTGGGAAAAGAGAAGGGGAGAGAGAGAAAAGGAGGATTGACTAACTAATATCCAGCTAGCTAGAATACAAACACAAAAATTGAATTTCAATTCTACAATTTGGTATGGCACTTTGGGGGGTGATTTTGTTGAAGAAGGAGATGGGTGCAAAAAAAGGAGGCAAAAAAGAAAGAGAAAAGAGTGGAACCGTCCAAAAACTCTGAGCTTGAACATGAAGCAATATCCAGAAAAAGGCTGTAAAGTTTTGAAAGGAGTACCTGAACTCAAGAAACAGAGGCCAAAACTTTTAAAAGTCACAAAAATTTTCAAGAAATTGATCATAAACCCAGGTAAAGAAAAACCCTTTAATCATGATACAAGAAACCAACTCTCTTCTCCTTTAACAAAAAATGTTACACCCA